GCACTTTCTGCTCTGGCCACTGCTGCCCGCTGAGGGGCGGGCGAGGCGCCCTCCCTGTGGAAGGGCCGAGCGGAGCCCTGGGGGGGAGCAGCGGCTGAGCACTCACCCCTCGCGAAGGGGTCACTCTAACGCCCGCACGGCCTGCAGGTCTAGCCTTGGAACCCGGTGAATCAGCCTCTCCAGCTGGCTCTGTGCAGAGAGGACAAAGTGGGCAGAGGCTGCTGGGGTGAGCAGAGCAGGGAGCAGGGAGCTCAGGGCCGGTGGAACCAGAGGAGCCCAGCTGGGGACCTGTGGCTGCTCCCCACCTGTGCGGTGAACAACCAGGACCCCGGCCGGGGCCAGGCAGCTGAGGTCCAAAGCCCAGCGATGCTCCACGTTGCAGGTGCCAGGAACTGCCCCAAGCCCTTGTGCCTTGATGTCCCCTTAGATGACAGAGAACCTGAACCTTACGGCAGGCTGAGAGGAGCTCTCGGAGACGCCGAGTCACAGCACCCGCAGGAAGGCAGCGGGTGGCATAGAGGTCGGCGCGGGGGGGGGGGGGGGGTAGCGGGAGAGAGGAATCAATTAACTCAAGTCGGCGGCTGTTGTACATTTTCGAGAGAGAGAACGAGAAAATACCCCACTTCTCCACATTTCAAATTAAGAACAGAAAACATCCAATCCGCTGGAATTGCCGCAGAGCACACTTGAGCTTTATTTCAGGGCCACTCAGGCTGAGAGGAGGAGGTGGCAGCTCAGGGAGAAGGGGCAGGAGGAAAGGAGGGCGGGCTGTGTCGGGGGGGGCGGTGTGCCTGGAGAGCAGAGACCCTGGAGGCCTGCTTCGCCCCAGGGCTGGTGGCCCCTCACCCAGCCTGTGCCCCAGGCGTGGCCCAGGGTAGGGCTGGATGAGTGGGTGCGGAAGGCAGTCCCTGGCCTCCGTGGGCCGGAGTGGGTAGGACGCATGGCCCTGGGCCAGGTGGCCTTTCCAGAACAGAGGGCTCAGCATCCCCAGCATTCGGGAGGCTGAGGCAGGAGGATCGTTGTGAGCTCAAGATCAGCTTGGGCTACAAGGTGAGCTCAAGGCCAGCCTGAACTGCATAGTGAGACCCTGTCTCAAAAAGACAAAAAAAAAAAGGAAGCAGCTTTCACCTGGGGATGCTGGGACCGCAATGAGGGAGCCCACGTCCCACCCCAGTGTCCATGGCCTCCCTTCTGCAGAGTCACCATTGATTTGTAAGTGGCTCAGTTCTTCACTTTCCGAGCCAGAGCTGACCGAGGCTGGGCCCTTGTATAACTACAGCAGGGGAACAGGGGTCCTGGCCCCTGGCACCCACAGCCGTGGTGGCTCCCACCCCCCTGGCACTCAGGGGTCTTCGGTCTGTGGACGCAGGCTTGCAGGTAATGCTGGATGTCACTGGGTCCCTGTTATTGCCACAGAGTGGGGTGGCCAAGCTCTTGTTCTCTCTCTCTCCCTGCTGTGTACCCTGGGGCGCCTTCCTTGTTCCCCTCTTGCCTAGTGTCCCCTATGGGCAGTGTCCCCACACTGCCATTCCTAGCATGTCCTCTGATTCTCCCATCCCTCCTGGAGCATTGGCCAAGCAGGCTCGTCAACCCATTTCCCAGATGGATCAGCTGAGGGCTGTGGAAGCTGAGGGCTGTACCTGGGGCACACAGCTCTGGGACAAGGGTGTTGTTCTGGGCTGTGGGGCCCTCAGAAAGGGGTGCATTGGAGGAGGTGACTGAGCCTCTGCACAAATGGTTCTGTACAGGGTGCATGTTCTTAAATACCTGCTCTCTGCTCAGGGTCTGGAGACAAAGGGGTATTGAACTGGGAAGGGTGACCTGGCCCCTTAAGAGCTGCTGGAAGGCTGGTATTTAAACTCCTTCGCAGCGCAAGGGCACCAGGCAATGGATTCTTTATGGTGGAATTCATATGAACCAGAGCATTTATGAATGACCTATGCTCGGCCAGCCTCTCCCGCGCGCCGCAGGCTGGGTAATTCTCCAGAGCGGCCACAGCCTGGGCTCTCGGCTGTGGATTATTAAAGAGCAGGACCATTCTAATCCAAGTAATGAGATCAGAGGTTCCCTGCCGCCACTTCATCTAGAGCTGGTGCTGAGCGTCTGCGGGGGCTCTGGGGGCTCATCTGCCTTCGGGGTCCTGGGGCTGCCCACCTGCGATGTCCAGGCCCAGAGAGCCGGAAGGACTGCGGCACAGACTCCCGCCTCCGGGGCCCTGCCTGGGCAGTGTCCCCTGTGGGTTGCCTCTCCTGCTCCTCTGCCCGCTGATGCCCCTGCATCTGCTCCATGTTTGAGCCACCTCCCTGGGAACTCTGCAGTACCCCCAGTGGCACTCAAGGTTCTGTCTCCATTCCTCTCGGAGCCCTGCACCAGATGGAGTGTTATTTCCCAATGCTGATGCAGCACCCCCACCCCCGATTCTGAACTTGACTTTGTCCTCTTCTCTTCCTCTCCCACCAAGACCCCCCAGCCAGACAGCCAAACCCCACCACTCCACAGCCTGGGGGGTACTAGAAATCCATGTGTGTTGTCAGCACTGGGGGATGCTTGTTACACAGCACTGTGACAGCCAGAGTTGACCCATGCACTGACTCAGAGGAAGGGTCACCCTTCTCCCTGAGGGGTAACTGATCTGGACGAAAAGGCTCAGTCTCAATCCATGCTTGGCTGGCTCAAATGCAGAAGCAACACGGTGGAAGGGTGTTCTGGAGAGGAGAGCTACTCACGACTTGGTAGGCAGGAAGCAGACAGAGAAACAAGGAGCTAGGTGGAGAGCTGTACCCGTCCAGACACAGCCCTGGGACAGGCCTCCTCAGCACAGTGCTCCTCAAACTCATCAGTGAATCCACTGCGGAGCCCAGTGCCCCGAGACCCAATCACCTGCCCAAAGCCCCTCCTCTCACTGGAAGGAGCTGCTCGCGAGCTGTGGACCAAAATCCATGTGCTGGGGTGTCGGTCAGGACCCCGTGGGCCGAGGCAGCAGCAGGAGGAGCTGCCGTAGACACTGTCCCCCGTCCTGGTCCCGTAGGGTGGGTACAGCAGCAGTGCAGGAGAGGCGGGACCCTGGGGAGGGCCATTGCGGGTCACCCGACCTTGACGTGTGCGTACGTGCATGTGTGTGTGCACGTGTGAGGTTGGAACTGACACACACTACAGTGTGCCAGGCTCCGGCTGGGAAGCGCTGGTCCTGAGACACAGTCAGAAAACAGACTGTGACTGACAAAGCGCCCCCTGCCCGGGGCCCTGCCCCGTGCTGTCTCCGGCTTCCTGTCCGAGGGCTATTCATTGCCCAGCAGCCCTGGGACCCGGAAGGGAGCTGTCTCAGGCACTTTCGTGCTTTGGGGCGCAGTGCCTGACGCCCAGAAACTTCAAGGAGGGGTTCGGTTTGGCTCCCTTTCCTGTCACACTCAGCTGGGCCCAGGTAGGGGTGTATTGCAGAGGACAGCAGCTTACTGCAGGGCAGGCAGGGAGGGAGCGCAGGGCCCCGGGAGGAGCCGGGAAGGTGGAGAGGTGACCTTCCAGGCCACGCCCACCGCCACCACCTCTTCCGGCCGGGCCCAGCCGCCTATCAGCAAGGCAACCATGATTCAGGCACCTCCCAAAGGCCCTGCCTGTGACGCATGAGGCTTTAGGGATACCTAGGTAGAAATCACAGCAGGCACCTCGCCCCACTCCATGGGTGAGAAGACTGAGGTGAGGGGCCCAGGGCTTTGCCCAGATCTGCCCGGCTGGGAGCCCTGGCATCAGGAGGAAGCCCAAGTAGGGACTTCAGCCCAGTGATGACAATGCCTGGTCTTGGTGACACGGGTCGTGTGAAGGGCTGGAAGCTGTACAGGGGCTGGGAGTGGGCAGACTGGAGGACAGCGGGCGCTGAGCAGGGCTCCTGGGGACGGGGGAGAGGAGGCTCAGGCAGCCACCCCGGGCCACATGGACACCCGGCACAAGGGTTTGGGTGCTGTTGCAGGGATCACGAGCCCCAGGCTCCGCACAGGCTGCCCAGCGCATCTCCACCACCCACCAGGTGGCTCTCCTCGCAGGCCCAAGCTCCCTCAGCAGCTGCAGCCTGGGCCAAATACTTCCCAGTGGTCACCAGCTCCGGCACCCTGGCCCCACCAGCCTGACTGTAGGAGCAGGCCGTGCCACCCACCAGCCGGTCTGCAGGCTGGAAAGAATCCGTCATACCTGCTCCCACTCCCTGCGGGACACCTCTGCTGCCTGCCCACCTTCCCCACAAGGTCTTTCCCAATGCCCTGGGGCCACCCACAGTGCCTGTCCTATGAGGGACAGGGCGGTGGCAGTGTCACAGGCCAGCAGGGCCCTTGCAGAGCCCCCAGCTCTAATCACTGCCTCTAGGTGAGGATGCCGGCCAGAGACTCAATACAGAGGCACAAAGTCAGATTGACATCCTTCCTTCCAAGCACCAGGGAGCAAAGGGGCCCCAGCTCTACAACGGGTCCCCTCACTTTAATTGGGGCTTGAAGCCACTCCCACCAGACCAGGTCCTTCCCGTAAACCTGAAGTCTGACCCAGACTCAGGGAGCTCAGGACCCACGGAGGGAACTCTCTTTTCCCACGAAGTCATCCCCCCTGCACTGGCCTCCTGGAAGGTCCTCACCCGGGGGCAGGGGGGGCGGGGGGGAACCTGGCAGTGCCTGTCCTGCCCCCAACCACAGTCAGAGCAGGATGGGGACATCTTTCTCTTCCCAAAGGCACCAGCTTCTGCCACCCAGCAGCACACCACTTCCAAACTTCTGGGGCCGGCATCTATCAAGGCTGAGGGGACACCGATGTTTGGGCGGTGGCCGAGAGCATTGGAGGAGTCCTAGGGCCGACTGCCTTTGCAGGCAAAGTGGCACCAGGACCCCTCCCTAGGAGACCGATGTTCCAGCCGGGATCCGGGGAGTCTCAAAAGGACGCAAGCCACATGGAAAGTTGCTCCTGCCTCCCCAGACCCCCCCACGGGCCACAGCCATCTCTCGCCCATGCCGGTGGCCCCTTACCTGTGCCCAAGGCTGGTCACTGTCCAGGGGGAGGGGAAGCTGGCACGGGAGGCCACTCCAGGAGCCCAGGCTGCCGTCCCTGCTCAGGCGAAGCCCCTGCCCCTCTCCGGGCAGCCGGTCCTCGGCTGGGGCATGTGTGCGTGTGCGCCTGCAGGGGACCGGGTGCCTCTGGAGGCCAGGGTCAAATATTCCTGGCTGCCACCTGCTGCCAGCCCATCCCCGGGGCCAGCTGCCCGCGACAGGGGTGCTGCAGCCGGGCTGGGGCCGCTGTCATCTGCCACAGTCAGGCGGCCGCGGCTCTCCAGGCTCCTGCCGGCGGCTCAGGCTCAGGCGAGCAGGTTATTTTTAGAGCTCGGCCCTTCCCCAGACACCAGGATCCCAGCTGAGATCTCCAGCAGCCCCAAGGAGCCCGATCTTGGGCCGAGCTGTCGCTTCCTGGGAATGTTCTAGAAGAAAGAGGAGCAGGCCAGGAAGGGACAGGGTCCTCCAGTTCCTCATGTGAGAACACGGGGCAGGCTGGGGTCTCCATGGCTTCTGTGGCAAGGACAGCAGGGGCCTCAGCAACCTGGCCTGGCCTCAGTGCAGGCAGGGCGTCTCCTCTCTGGGAGCCTCAGTTTCCTCATCTGCAAGATGACAGAGGACAGGTAGTCACCTGTCCGGGGCAGGGCTGGGACCTGAGACCACCCAGGAGCCAGGATGGGGCACCAGAGCCGCTCTGTGCTTCTCCCTGCCAGGGTGGCACAAGGCACCGTGTAACCCCGTGCCTACTCCGTACACAAGTAACTCAATACTGAGGAAGCTAGGGACAGATACCATGCCCAAAGGCACACTAAGGGCTGGGAATATTATTGCTTAGTGACACAACGCCTGCCTAGCAAGTGCAAGATCTTGAGTTCGATTCCTGGTAGCAAAAAAAGGGACAAAACTACAACCAAATGCACACTAGTGGGAACATACCCATTTCACAGGTGGGAAACTGAGGTCTAGAAGGGTTAGAGGGCTTCCCAGGACCCCTGCCAGCCAGGGGCAGTGTGACCTGTCTCCAAGCTCATGTGCGCCCCATCTTACTTGGCCTGCCGAGGGCCCCTGGTGCATTCCCTTTGGTGACATGAGCATCGCTCATGGTCCCCCACATCTGCAGCCTCCCACCATGGCTGTAAAACTAAGCAGTGAGTCCCTGCCTGCCGCAAGCGATGAGGGGGACGGCGCCAATGCACTGAGGCCGCCCCTGTCTGCTTGTCCCTGTTGGCCCAGCTCCCAGGAAAGATGTTTGCTCATCCTTGCTGTGCCTTTGCTCAGTGTACCCCATGAGAGAAAACGGCTCCGCCGGTCCTGGCCTCCCCACAGAAAGCGTGGAGACAACTTTGCCCCCGTGCGCACTCGCATCTGAGCACCATCCTGCTGCCCACCTGGCGGAGCCACCCCATGGCTGAAGAGTGGATGGGGCAGCACTGTGATTGCCATGGCGACGTGAGTCAGGAGAGCCCGAGACACACCCCTGCGCAGCAAAGGGTCAGGTGGGGTCAGGAGGAGCAGAGCACGGGGACCAGACAGAGGCGAGAGCAGAGACTTTCCCTGAAAAAGCATTTGGTGTTATTTTCTGAATCCTTGAACTTTTTTTCCCCTTTTGAGTTAGACAAGAGTTTATTCTTTCCATGGTGCAAAATGAGGAAAACATACAGACAAAATCAAGAGGAAAAGTGTCCCGGCACCCAAGGCCTCCATCAGCCATGGATGAGACTCAGCGATTTCATCTTTCTCCCTCTATCCAGCTATAAATACACACCCCAGACAACGTGGAAACGTTCTATATTTACAGGCTCTAATCCGCCTTACTCACTGCCATCATTTCCCCAGGATTCGAAGTACTTCTTTGGAAACAGTTTGGAACGGCGGCACAGGGCGACTGCACGTGGAGGCCACCACACACGCAGCTCTGCCTCCGTGGCTCAGCGCCCGTGACCTGCTTGGGGAGCCTGGGTGCCCCGCAGCCTGCATCAGGGTTAGAGTTAGCAAGGTCGCACGCGCGCTAAAATCCTCCTGGAGCCGGAGGCTGCGAGAGACCCGACGAGGTGACCAACCTAAGGGTACGAGGAGGCGGGGGCTGGTGAGGCGAAGATGTGCCCCTCCCATCCCCGTGCAGTTCTGCAGCAGGACGGGCCCATGGGGACCACAGCCCAGGTGCACGGCCCCAGTTGAGGAGTGACAGGTAGGAGGGTCCCTAGCTTCCCAGCTCCTCGGAGGTGGTGGGAGGCCCTGGGTGTGGGATGTCCATCTTCATGCAGGAGGAGACTCCGAGCTGCACCCCTACATGTCTTGGTGGTGCCACTGCCATGTCACTGCACCCAGAAACCAGCCCCTTCTCCCAGGAGGGGAGCTCAGAGGCAAGGACGCCTGGTGCCCAGCCCTCCGGGGTCTGAGACACAGGCCAGCCAGCACCCAAGTTCAGAGGAGGTGGGGTGGCGGGAGGCTGGGGCAGGCAACGGGATGGGGCTGGAATTAGACCTGCAGTGGGAGGCCAGCTGCCACCCCATTACCACGTCCGCTCCCCACTGGAGGCGGGAGGCCCTGGGTTGGAGCCCTAGGGCCGTCCAGTCTCAGAACCGAGGGCCAAGACTGGGCAGGGCAGCCTGGGGACACCCTGCAACTCATGGAACCAGAGCAGGGTGTGCAGGAGTCGTCTGCACGGTGGGGTCACTCTGGGCCTTGCGCTACTTAGCTCACGGCGGAGACTCCCCGGAGTCAGCCCGAGACCTGCGGGCCAGGAAGGTGCTCCAGGTGGACACCCAGGGTCCTATAGTCCAACGCCCACTTGAACAGATGCAGAAACTGAGTCCTGAAGGAGACAAGGCCCCGCCTGTGGTCACACAGTGTTTCTTGGACAAGTGTCCCATCGTGCGCTTCTCAGGGGCCAGCTCCCACGTCCCATGGCTCCCACGTCCTGTGGCTCCCACGTCCTGTGAGTCCCACTTCTTGTGACCTATTGTATGATCCACCCTGATGAATGCTTCACGTGAACTTTGAATGTGTTCTCTGTGACTGATAGGCAGGGTGTGGAGGACTACCTGGGCCACTCTCCTTGAAGGAGGAGCAGTTGTCTCCATTCTGGCTGAGCCTGACCCTCAATTGGCTTTAAACTGCGCATATGGGTCTAGCCGAGGTGCTGATGGTAATCTTTGGAGATGGCAGCCGTGTTTCCCTGACCACCCCCGTTGCTCCCTCGAGTGAGCTGGGATGAGGCAGGATGTGTGATCCAATGTTCCATGCTGTTGGCTGGGGTCAAGCCTTAGGATAGAGGCTATGACTTCCTGGAGCTTCAAAGATTACACATCAGAGCTGAAGCACCGACCCCAAAACATTAGATACTATCTCAGCTGTGTTATGCAGATTATTCTTTGCACATCCTTCTCACTGCATCTAGCAGAGGTGATTTCAGGCCTCCTACCTCGCCCCGCTCATGGCACTCACCCACTTCCCACAGTCACTCATCCTCAAGCCACTCCCTTCTTCACGGATGAATAAAACCTGGATTCAGCCCTGGATTGAGGCCTTTGTTCTGGATGGCCATCCCTGTGGCTGGACTTAGGACCCCTTGGCTCCCCATAATACAAATATGCCTTAGTGTCTTTATTCTCACCATGGATTGCTCTGGAAGTGGTAGATTGAAATTAACTCACTAGAATTCCAATAACTTTTCACGGGATTACAAATATAAACTTCCTGGGCCGGGATGAGGACTGGGAAGGGCCCTCTATAACAGGGCATCTTATAAATACCGATTAGATCAAATGTGTGCTGTTCAAATACTCTATAACCTAACTGATCTGTTTCTTGGCTTATAGAGGAGTTCTTAAATTTCCAGCTTTACTTCTTGATTTATTTCTCCCTTTCCTTTTGTCAAAGTTTGCTTAGTATATTTTAATACTCCATGATTTGAGGCATACATATTTAGACAGATTTACTTAACAAATCAACTATTTTATCATCATTTATCTCTTGTGGTGTTTTTGTTTGCTTTGAAGTCAATTCCATTTGTTCTCAGTACAACCACACCAGACTCCTTTCATCCATATTTGCATATGGTCTCTTTTGTAAGCCTTTGCTTTTGACCTTTTTATTTTGAAACCAATCTTTTGTAGTTGGCCTATAATAGAGACATGATTTGCACCCAGTGCAGCAATCTTTGCTGTTTGCTTTAGAAGTTTAGTTCATTTATATTTAATGTAATGGTTGATGTGATTGGGTTTACATCTCTCTTCTTCCTATTCGTTTTTCATTTGTCGCTCTGATTTTTGATTGTCTGTGGCTCCCCTTTGCCTTCTTTTGGGTCAATCAGATTTCTTTAATGTTACCTTTTATTTCTGCTACTGGATTCTCAGCTACACTCATGTTATAAGCATTCCCTTCACTTCATTTGGCCTGTCCAGTAAGCTATCTCATCTGCGAAGTCAGAAAGAAAACACGGTTCTCTGTATCCACCCATTTCTTGGCCTTTTCTGGTTCTTGTCATGCCTCCTCCAGCTCCAAGAGGGGCCCCAAAGGACTGCCTTTAGCATCTTAAAAGCCACAAGCCTGCTGTGATTAAGTCTTCTATGTGTTTAACTGTTTCTTTATTAACTCTTTTTTTTTTAAAGGTTACTCTCACTGATTATAGAATTCCAACATGACAGGTTTATTTTTACTAACAAGTCCATCATGAATATTCTTCTGTTTCCTGTATGTAATGCGACTTGTTTTCTCTGGCTCGTTCTATGGTTTTTCTCTTTACATTTGATGTTTAGCAGCTTGACTGTGATGTGACCATGGGTAGCTTTTCTTTATAGTCACATATACCCTGCTTAATTTTATAGTCTAATGGGTGTTGTCCATCCAATTAATGTTCAGCCCTTACTTGTGCAAAGATTTTCCTTCTCCAGTATAAGTTTTCATGATGCCAATTATACATTTGCCCTACTATTTGGTATCAACCTACAGGTCTTCATTCATTTTTTTGAGAATAATTTTTAAAATTTTCAACAGTTTTAGATATGTGGAATTACTGCAAAGGTGGTGTAGAGAGTTTACATGCATCTCACACCCATTTTTCTTTGTTACTTATAACATATTAACAGGCTACATTTATCACTATTAATACACATTTTCAAATTTATTAACTACTTTTTTGGGGGCGGGGGGGAGTTTTCCGGTACCGGGAATCGAACTCACAACCTTGCTTTTGCCAGGCAGGTGCTGTGCTGCTGAGCTAATCCCCAGCCCCCTCAAATTTATTAACTAAAGCCCATATTTTATTCAGATTCCCTAGGGTCCCTTTTCTGTTCCAAC